AAGACGCAATAGTTGATCTATTATTATGAAATTTTGGAATCTAAAATTCAATGAACAAGAAATAATAATAAAAACTATTTCTACAGAATTTTAATTTAATTTCCTTTTCGAAAATATTAGTTATTAATTTTTAATCGTTCTGATTCATTTAATTAATTTGAAATGAATATTTGTTTTTAAATTTTTCATAAGCCCACGATCATTGCTAAAATGGCAACCTCAATTGTAAGCCTCCAGACGCGTCTCTGCCGCTGTCTCTTTCTGTCCAAGCCGAGTTTTTTCTTGGCCGCTGGGTGTTGTCTGCCTTGTTATTGCGCATACTTTTGGCGTTTTTTTTGGCATTTCGGTCTCTTAGCCTCCTCTCTCCGAGGGCGCAAATTAAGTTCGAGTCATTAAACCGGTCAACTAAAATAACGTGGCATCCAAGCGGCCGAGGCATTAACTTGAGATCAGCGTTCATCAAGGGAGTGAGTGCACAACAAAAAAACAAAACAACAGGAACATCTTGATCACTTGTGGTCAACGCCTAAACGTTTTGTGCAGGGGTCCGAAGTTATTGACCGACTTTACCAATGTAACCCGATCTGCACTGACATTCAATGCTCGGTGTGGAAATATAGCACCACCATCTGATAAATGCAAAAGATGATCGACCAAAAGCATAACTGTTCACACTCGAAGGGGGACTATATCTAAACATAAAATCCTTACTAAACCTAGTCATAGTCAAATAGGGTACAATTTGCTTTTCTTTACGCCCAGAATTTTTCGTAAATTATAGAACAAATAAAAATACATCCCATAATAACACCAGCTATAGAGTTAATTTTGCAACAAAATCCCTGATTGTTGGGTCGCAATTAATCACTTGATTGATTTTTTATAAATGATGTACCTTCCGACAGAATTATGACTCCGCTCACACTCTCCCTACTTAAGTGCAAGTATTCAGAGGTCCCGAAAAAAAGAAAGAATTGATAAATTGACTTGAACTCTCCACACACGCGCAGCCGTTAATTATACGCCATGTATACCAGTCGACGTTCATGTTTTTTGCCTTTTGTTGATTGTGGCTGGCTTATTTGTTATATTCTTATTCCGGCGAATGCAATGAACTCCGCCGCTTGTTTATTTAAAAATAAAAATACAATTTACACAAAAAATGGAAAAGAAAGCAAAGCGCAGAAATCGAATCGACAAACAAAAGGAATTCTTTGTTTATGGCACTGCCAACCTGTGCTCTTGTGTGTGTGAGAGTGAGTCCGCCCGGAAAGGCTATCTCTTTCGCACGCACACCTTCTCGTAGTTACTGTTCAATTGAGGCGCAAGTTGCATTTTTTTCTGGTTATACTTTTTTGGGGCTCCAAGTTCGTTGGCATCATGTAGATTTTATTTATCAGTTGAAATATTTTGCTAACAAATTGCAGTCAATGACATTAGCCACACCAAAAAATAAGCACACACCAAAAAGTGACATGCACACACACAAATGCAGAGCAGAGCGGATGTGGCGGCAGTCTCTCTTCCTCTCTCGCTCACTCCCACTCTTTCTCGTGGGGGGGGGCTGGGGCTGAGCAGGCGGGAGTGGAAGGGAAAGGAGGAGATAGCATTGGAGATGGAGACAGGGACGGCGAACAGGTCACGCAAGCGCACAAAAGTTTATTCATCTCGCATCTCCCCAAAATGCGAAAATGCGCAGCAGCAACAGCAACAGGCAAAGAATCGACAAAGTTTTCGAAGCCGAATCGATAAAGTGGAGATAGAAGACACTCTTCTGCACACTTGTGCAAAGCTCCAAGAACCATAAGAAAAATATCAAAAACATATGCACTCAGGGAAAAAGTTTGTGGTTAAAGTTTCTTTAAGATTATTAAAAAATATATTTTTTTTTCTAAATTTAAGGTGTAACTTACAGAACAGAAATCATAGTTTTGATAATAATATTTTGCAACTATGATTTAACAGTAAAGTTAAATACGAATACTCTAATAAAATACCCATTCAATTTTCCATAAATATTCTAAATAGTACTTTTTTACCAAAAATATTAAAACAGTCTCCTTTGCATATTAATGTTAACATTTTTCACTGTGCAGCAAGCTTTACTTTTTCGGGTTTCTGTTTGTCCAGAAAAAGATGACGAAGAGGGTGTTTGGCAAAGGGGGCGGTGGGTAACGGGGTTGCGAGGGCGAGACGACTGCAAAATTGTTTAATTATAAAATGTAAAAAACGAGGCGAGCATCCAAAGAGAGCGCGAGCGAGCGAGTGAGTGAGTGAAATACATGAGAGCGAGTGGGGGACAGAGATAAAGTTTTTGTTGAAGGACACACACGGTCTTTAAAAGTGAGTAATGCACTGGAGGTTGTTGACTCGACCGCCATCCCGTTCGCTCTGCCCCGTTTTGCTGGCGTCGCCTTCGCCTTGTAGTCTCTCTTTCTTTCTACTTTATTTTTTTATTTTTTATTTTTGTATTTTATTTTTGCACTGTCCACCGAGCTTGTTGTTGTTTTTTTCTTGACGCTGATATTGAATGCGCCTGTGTCTGTGTGAAGAATCTTTTGTTATGCGAGTTTGTATTTTTTCGGTTTTCGCATGTGCGTGTTCGTGTGCGTGTATCTGTGTGTTTTGTGCAAAGTCAAAGTGATTAAACTTTATGCGCAATTTATTTTGCATTCAGCGCAACAACAACAGAAGCTAAGCCCAAAAGATCAGGCAGCAGCAGCGGAATTATTATTGTTTAATGCTAATTTAGCACACGTCAAATTTCATATCCAAAAAAGCTGCCAGAATCGCTTTTACAGGTTCAGGTTCAAACGCGAGAAATAAGATAAGCGACGCGATAAGCGTACACAGGGGGAAAATGTATCGACTAAATTCTTTGATAAAAATACTTCAGTTACTTTGCAAACTTAATTTAATTGATATAAAAACACATCAATGTTGGTCGATTTTAAACCGAAGACCAAAAGCTTGTTGCAGTTCTCTAGAAAGCTATTAATAAAAATATTAAGTTTCAAGAAATTTTAAAAAGTTCTTTAACAAAACATATGAATACTTATTAATATATATTTTTTTTTTCTAGAAATTAGCAGGATTTCCTTTTAATGGGACAAAAGCTATTAGAGTTATTGCATATTTTCCTCGAACTCGGCAAAAACTTCCGAACATGTGCCTAGATGCGGGTGTTGAACACTTCACTCATTCCGCTTATTTTTAACTGACTCACAAGTTAATTTTCCCTTAAATATGTATGCATTTTTTGTGCGAAGTGGGAAATTGCAGCAACATGCGGTTAAATGTTGACACCCAGCAGACGCCACACAGCAAACCGCAAAAACGCAAGCCTCGGAGCCTGGAAGGGTAACGAAAAAAAAAACCTAATGAGTGGGATGATCCATTAGGGTGGACTTTATTCAAGGACTTACTCATTTTTCTAAAGAAAACTATATATTAAAATAATATAAAATAAAGAATTTATCAGGGCACAGGTGGGCAAAGAGGAATGACAACGTGGTGACTAAAAAATGTGTAGTACAAACACATGATCACTCTTTAGGGACTACGTTTTTTTTCGGAACAGAAGTTATTAAATGGCTTTTTAATTTAATTAATAATTTTTCACCTCAAAGATTCCATCCCAATCGCGTGCAGGCGGCAACCTCCAGATGCGCGCAATATGGTGCTCTTTTCTGGATGACGCCGCCGGCATCATGGCCACAGTTGTTGTTGTTGTTTTCTTATTCACTTTCTGTCTGTATTTTTTTGCTAAATGTTGTTGTTCCTGCTGCTGTTGCATTCTGCACTGCGTTGTTAATCGTCTTGACGGCGCAGTCACATTGTGCGTGCTGCTCCCAAGGCCAGTGCAATATTTTACACGAGTGACATCGCCGGCGAACTTCCGTCAGTGTTGCGGCCTTTGTACACCTAAAAAAAAACCATATATTTAAAGATATTTAAGAAAACGCTAATATGAACAAAAATAATCCTAAGAAAAATAGAAACAATTTTTCTCCTTTGGTTTTTAATTTAGTTTCTGGAAGATAAACTTTTACCAAATTTAGCAAACAATGCAAATACATATATGTTATAATCTTTAAACTACATTTTAATACTCTTATTTTTATTACAAATTATTTATTTCTTTACTTTAGAGTCCTAAAACTTCCAATATTTTCTCCTTCGTATGATTTACAATCGCACTTTAACTCACTGTTAATCGTTTTTATACCCTTACAAAGGTTTTATAATTTTATTTAGAAACCTGTAATCCTGTGAAAGAAAATAAGAAAGAAACGGTTTTTGAACTGTTCAAAAGCTAACACAGAAAAGTTTTCCGAATTGAAATTAATGAATTTTTGGCTTAGATATGAGTTTATTAAACTTTGATTTGTCGCAAATATTGTCATATAAAATTATAGATAAATAAATAAACAGCAAACTCAAGGGTATATAAACATCGGATTTCCAAAGTTAGGTACCTTTCTAGTTATTTTTCTTGTTTTTCCTGCTCTGCTTTGTTGTGCGTCATCATCGCCTGGCCCTGCATTGCCGGGATGTTTATTTCGTTGCTTTAACTCCCTGTACCTCCCTTTTAAGCGTCTGTATTATCCCCTCTCATTCGTCACCCACACGCACTCCCGATCATTTAACACCCACTGTAAGTGGAATATTGTAAACCAGACAAGTTCCTCGAATATCTACACTGCCAGAAAATTACTTAGGATAGGTGGGGAATTGATAAAACAAAATATGCTACCTTTGCGTATACGTAATATATGGATTCTACATTAAAATTACGTATACGCAGGGGTGTCACAGAAATTGATTTGGATTTGAAATTAAAAGAAAAGAAATTAAAAATTGATTGATTTCGAAATTACTTAGTTTGACATTATAACGGATTTAAAATCCTTAAATTTTAAATTTTTTATGTTCAGTGGTTTTTTATGATTCTATACTGTATACTTTTCTGGGTGGGTTCATTCCTTTTCCTATTTTGGAAGCCCTGGCGATCATTGTCAGTTTTTCAAATTCTGTAAACTTGTAGAAAAATAATTAAACTCTTTTCAAAAAACCTCACTAAATTAGTTTTGAGATTATTTAAGATTCTTAATGGTATTAAGTTAATTGGTTTCAAATTTAATCATAAGCTGGTTGAAATCTTAATAAAACCATGACTGGCGACTCGTTTATGTTTTTGTAAGTAGTATATTTAAATTACACGTACTCGGATTTTATATGGTCCCTTTAGCTCATATGGACTGATTACTTTGGCCCTGCTGCTGGCGATCATTTGCCTGTTTTTGCCCAGGGTGGACAGGTTCATCAAGTTGTCAGCGGGCAGGATATACAAGATCTATGCAGAGTACACTCCTATAGGATACATGATCGATGATTCCTTGACTCCTGTTTCCCGACGCCGTCTGCAGCGGGTGGCTAAGAAGACACTGGTGTTGGACATGGACGAGACCCTGATCACGGCCTGGATTCAGCGACAGGACAAACGTCGGCAGTCACCACCCAACGTTCCCCACGACTTTAAGTTCGTGCTTTCGGATTCCAAATATAAGGGCAAGGTCTATGTTTATAAGCGTCCCCATGTAGATCACTTCTTGAACTGCGTATCCAGATGGTATGACCTGGTGGTTTTCACCTGTGGAACGGAGCATTACGCAGCACCTATTCTCGATTTCCTTGATAATGGCCGTGGGATTTTAACCAAGAGGTTTTACCGTCACAACACCATCGATGTCGCTGGCCTAAAGGCCAAATATATATCGCTGTGTTCGCCTGACATGGCAAATGTCCTGCTGCTAGACAATTCCAATACAGAATGCAGCTTCAATGTGGGAAACTGCATCCCAATCCCATCGTATAAGATTGGGAAAAAGGACGAAGCCCTTCTCGACCTCCTGCCATTTCTGGACGCCCTGCGCTTTACAAGAGACGTGAGATCGGTTCTGGGAAAATGCACTCGCTTCGAGTGCCTTACCACGCTTCTGGAGAGTCTCGGCAATTACGATTAAATTAGTTTTAATTTATTGCTTATTTTATTAAATTTATATTATTCTGAATACTAAGGTTTTTAATTATCATTGCGTAAATTTAAAAAGGGGATGAACTAAAAGATCTAACATTTTTGTATAACTATTTAACGACGCGTAGAAACTAAACAATGATTAATATCAAAGTCACCTTAAAGTTGAATGAATATATGAAATTTCCCTAGGGATGAATTATTTTTTAGAAATTATTCTGGGATATTTAGAGTTAAAAAAATGTTTTTTATAATCGCCCTCAATGGTGCCTTCTGTTACCAGTCTCCCTTTGAGTCATGCTTAGTCACAACCAAGTTGTATCTATGCCATTGAGACCATACCATGTTGTGATTCACCCTGCTGAGTAAATGACTCTGGCCAAGGTTGCAGCGATATCGGAAGGGCCACAACTCATATTAATCAGAGGCTAATATAATTTATATGTATGTACATATATGCTCCACTTTATCGGAGAAACCGAGTTGCGACAGTGAAAAATGAGCGAATGTCACAAGGATCATAGGGTAGAGCCCGCCGTGCTTCCATCTGCATGTCGATCGCTGTAAAAACGGAAACAGGTTTCTCTGAAAGAAAGCAGACAACTTGCGTATAAAAAATACTATATGTATATTTAGCGAACAATACATATCCATTAAGAAAATTTTGTTTATTTAAAAGGAGCTCTAAATTGTATTATGAGACTTACCACAGAATTTATGGAAAATAACTGATCTAACTGCATTGATTCTCAGAAATCCCCTTTAAATAGACCTGTAACTGGACTCTCCTTGGCAAGCAATATATGTAGCTCTTATAGCTTGAGAATCGAATACTTTTCGTGCTAATCCCTAGTCCAGCTCACCAGCCATTTGGGTGCGGCAATTAAGTCACCATCACCATCACCAGCTCCACCACTGGTGAGGTGGAGGAGTAGCAAGGGGATCCCAGTTTTGGGAAGCAGAGAGTGCCACAAGTTGCAAGGGGCTCGCGCGTTTCCAGCGAAGATCATTATTGTCTCGTCGCGGATGCTGGCGACGGCACCGGTGGACCAAAAAAAACAAAAAACAAAAACCACAAATACAAAAAAACAGCAACAAGGCAAGGCGGCAAACGTGCGGCGGGGCAAACAAGTTAATGAACCTGCCTGCGACGCCGTCTCGCAGTCCGGGATCCGGCATCCTTGGGGCCCCCGGCTTCTGGCGCGGAGGAGCTGGCGGAGCTGGGAGCCCGTCCAACTAGTTTGTCTTGGTCTGTTTTCGGTCTGTTTCGAGGACCCGCGACCGTCGCGCCGAAATCTGTGGCATGAATTCTCTGGAAATGATCGAAATTTCATTTCATTGCGAGGCCGGACGACCAGCCGAAATTAAGTTCAACAGCATTCCACCGGTCAGCGACTGTCTGGGCCATGGGTCCTACCTTTTTAAACAAGAAAACCCTAGCCAGGCTTAGAAGAATATCAATGGAAATGAATGCATGGATGTAAGTATATAAAAAAAAAACAGAATGCTTTTTTTCCGAATATTACATATTTAATTGTTATAGTTTTGCTAATTTACTTAAGAACAAGACAGGTAGTTAGACTCATCGAATAAGCATTATTAAGTTAAAAGTGAATTAATTTTAATCCAGAAATAAGTTATGTGCTAGTTTTTGAAAGGGTAAAAAATATGCATACTTACTTTTTTATTTTAAAAATGCATTTTTTTGTCAAAATTTTAAAATTATAACGATATAATCCCTTGTAAATAGTTTACAATTTCGAAAATAATTAATTTTAACCGAATATAGCTAGAGCGATTCGCCTGTTGATGCTGATAAAGAATCTTTATAGGGTCTTCACTGTGTTTCAAGCTTTTGACTGAAATTATAATACCCTGAAAGGGTATAAAAAGATATAGTAAATACTAAAAATATAAAACAGATAAACAGGTTACAAAGTTTAGCACAATCAGAGAACACTATCCTGTAATAATTTATATGTAACATTCCCTTCAAAAAAATATATATAATTCCCCAAGAAAAACAAAAGTAACTTTAACTAAAAATAACGCATAAAAGTCTAAAGCCTTTCAAAATATATGAATAATCGGTGCCTCTTTATTTGTATAAAAATTTAAACTTTTGAGTACGCGCTGTTCCTGAATTTAATTTTTAAACTCACACATTATATATCTTTATCATTCAGCAGGAAAATCGGTTTTTAAATAAGATTATTTACCAAGTCCCCTTGATTATCCTTGAGGCAAGGAGTCAATGCCCTGCATGGCGGACTCGCATTACACAATTGCAACGCCAATCGGACGATCAGCGGATCAGTGCTCAAGTTACACAGAACTCCAGTGGCCTACTTCCACTCGAGTGACCCGCAATGTCCCCGAACAATGGCCTTTGTGCCTCATGGCGAAATGGGAACGGGAACGGGAACGGGTACGGGATAACAGGAGCAGGAAACAGGAGCTGGACTAAAGCAACCCCATGATTTGATCCCTATCCCGGTCCTGCCCAGTCAGCCAAAGACAAAGAAACCCATTTTGTCGCATTCAAACAGAAATTAATGTAAAACAAAAAACCCTATCCAATCCCTGTCCAAGAGCCCGCTAAAGAACTGAAAGGGAGGGCGAGCGACCGAGGGAATATAATTTTATTTTTATAACTGACCTCGAACTTTTGTGCAATGTGATTGAACTGCTCTGCCTCTGACGATATCTGTGGGCTCTGGCCCTACTCTGCTCTGTCCCTTTCCCTGCACGGGACATGCACTGAGGGGAATACAGCTTTGGTTTTGTACAATTTTACTATTAACTTATTGATGATAGAGTTGTAGTAGAAAAGTAAAATTTACTATAGTGTAGGATGAAATAAAGTTAATGTATATCATTTAAATGTGGTATAATCTAATAATAATCTTATAATCAAATTTAAATAAACACAAATTATATTCCATAAATTAATTCTTAATAATTTAGATAAAAAATACTCCGAAAAAGGTCGTTATCATGGGCAATCCAGAAGAGATAAAAATAGTCAACTTTGCAGAAAACACATTACGTATACGTAATATTTAATATACACTTCGATTAATTTAACATAAAATAATGTTTCAAGATTCTTAAAATCATATAAAATTATATGGTCAAGTAACTGGTTAGTTTTCTAAATTTCGGCTAAAAAACCCAGTTCTTTGTATATTTTTTGTATAGTGTATCCCGATGCGAACTGCAGTATTTGCATGCAGACTGCATACGGAGCTGTTGATCACCCCCAACTCCGAATCCGATTTAGAGACCGAAACCGAGAATTGAGAATCAAGAAGCCCCGAGAGCCCGGGATGCAATCCAATCGTCGGACGGTCGGTTGACAAACAATATGGAAATTTTACAGAGTGCGCGCTGGAAATAACAAAAAAAAAAGGGGGGGGGGGGAAGCGAAAGCGAATCTTAAATGGCAAGCAGAGGCGAAGGCAAGGGGGAGGGAACGATAGTTGCAGTCGTCAGCGGGGAACGTTAAATGCATAATAAATGTGCGTTCTAAAGAGTTGGGAAATAAAATGCGTGCGCCGACGTCGACGCCTTGCACTTTCAATGACCAAACACAACGATAAGAAACTGAAACAGAGATATACAAACATATGTATATATGTATATACATATGTACATACATATGTATAAATTAATAATAATACAAAGAATGCAAGAAAGGAAGCTACCTTCGGGAGCCCGAAGCTGGTATACTCTTGCAATGTTGAATCGATCACAATCAAGCCAAAAATGTATTTATTTTGATTCGGAAAGCTTTTCTGTGCTTGTTTTATTAGGTTAAGAATTCTGAATAAGTTTAAAGTTTAAAATTTAAAAATAATTTATGAATTTTTAACAATGTAAGCCCTTATAAAATTAAAAAAAAATAAAAAAAAAACATAAATGTTTGCCAAATATAGGTAGATCGTTTCGTTTGCTAATGGTGTTTAATAATATACATATGCACATATGTATGTATGTATGGTACATATGTATGTATGTATATATGGTTTATAGGATCGGAAATGACTCCTTCAGCTTTTAAGTAAAATTAATTTTAATATATCCCTTTTGAATATTTAACATTCTTAATTGATTCTAATTCTCATTTAAAAACTAAACAATTTTTGTTTTATATAATGATATATATATGGACATATATGTACATGTATCAATAAATTGCATTAATTCTATATACAATATGTTTTTATTTGAAATAAAGTTTGTTAAAATATTTCGATCGCATCGTAACACAAGAAAAAGTTCAACTGGAACTATGGGAATGATAGTACTTAACAAAAAAAAGTTTCGCGAACAAACTTCTGATTGACTTTGTTTGCCAAAACAATTTTGGCGAGAACCAAAGATAATGCGAAAGAGAGAGAAGAAGGGAGATTTGGAAAGAGATATCGCCGCGAGAGTCACAAAGCCAAACATAAAAACAGTGTACAGTTCTTTATCAGAAATTACTCTGCCTGGCTGCTGTGCAAATATTTTTTATATAAAAGCGAAAAACAAAAGAAGACAACAAAAAAAAACATAAAAGAAGAGAATACGAAGAACACAATAAATAGAAAGCAGAGGCGTTGGCAGCGACCGAATGCCAGTCAAGCTTTAATTCCCCAAACAACAACAGCAACCACAATATGAAATAAATAAAAAAAGAGCATCAAAAGCAGCGAACAAAAAAATGTTTAGCTGACGTCATGTGTCCTTGAATTCGTATATTCGCTGCCAAAAGCGAAATTCACAAAATTCAATGCACTCGCCAAAATATAAGAAAAAAGTGTCAAAAAAGCAGCAGATAAGATGGCAAAACCAAAAAATAAAAATAAAACGGAAGAGGGAAACAGCGATACGTAATATGCAATGTAATTGTTGATGTGTAAGATATATACTAACATTTGGGAAAACCAAACGTGCCTCTTATAAATAATTATACGATAATTAAATATAGAGTTATATTAAGTTGTCTAAATAGGCAGCTTTTTTCAAATCATACGAAACCGCCAAAGCTCAACAGATGCTTTGGGCTTCAGTTATGGGGCGCACTGGCCATTAAGCACAACATCATTTTACTAACAATTATAAAAAAAAACTTAAACTAGTAACTTCACATATTATAGAATTGAATATATACACTTTATAGGGTCGGAAATGGCTTTTTCACACCGTTGCAAACTTTTGAGTAAAATTACATTTTAAAAATGAAATTGAATTAAACGGTTAAGAGCTAACGTAAAAATAACAGTTCTTGAAAGGCAACGTCGCAAAGCATTTCAAAATATTATATCGATAAAAATGTTATAAATATAAATTTTGTAAATATAAATAATTAATATATTATTACCACTAAGCTATATATTTTTTGTTTATTTCCGCATATCAAATTAATAATACAATAAATATTATCATAATGTATATAGTTTATTAGTTATCGATAAATTTAAATTTGTGACGCCCAGCCAGGTTTCCCACCAATTCGTATCTCCTACCGGTATTTTTTGAGACCGAAGAGGCGGTCACACTGGCTCCAAACCGGCAAAAAAACAATCAAGATTGTAAATTGTTTAAATAACTGAAAAAGATGAAGGAAAAGGACCTGAAGCGTGCTTATAACAATGTGATGGCACAGACTATATCCGTCTCTCACCAGCACCTATTCGCGGGTAACATGTTCGGAGATATCTTCGCACTCAGGTGGGAATCACTGACTCTTTGCACATTTCCAAACTGTAATTTGGCATTTTAAAGGATAAATGAGTTGGACAAGGGCTCCGAGGAACCGCCCGGGAAGCTGAAGATCTTCCCACAGGGACCTGGTATCGAAATTAACTGCCTGGCCTTCCATCGTGACTTCCTGATTGTGGGTGCAGTGGGCCTGATCTACGGTTTGCCATGGAACGAGGAGACGGAAACTCTGGCCATAAAGCGTTCCTGGGAGGTAAAGATACCCATGCAGGTGGATGCCGTGGAGGTGCCCGATGTGAACTCGATGTGGCTGAATGCAGATAATGACACCCTATTCGCTGGCTGCGGCGACGGCATCATCTATCAGGTGAGCCTCGAAGATGGACGCATTCAGCGGGAGTTCCGGGGCCACACAGATTACATTCACAGTGTGGTGGGCAACGCCAACGGCCAGATCTTCTCGGGAGCCGAGGATGGCACTGTGCGCGTGTGGTCTACCACGAAGCAGGAACAAACCGCTTTGCTGGAGCCGTACAAGAACTCCCAGCTGATCCGCCCGGACTGGGGCAGGTGGATAGGAGCTGTGGCTATTAACGAAGACTGGCTGCTCTGTGGTGGTGGTCCTAGGCCATCCATTTTCCACCTGCGCTCCTTGGAGTGTACTCGAGTATTCGACTTCCCAGGGCGAGTGCATCTATGCGAGTTTGTCGACGATTGCGTCCTTGTCGGCGGAGAGTACAACCATGTGCAGTCGTACACGCTGAACGGAGACCTGCAAGCCAATATTCCCGTGGAGCATACAGCGTGCTACTCGGCAGTGTGGCGAACGGCTCCCACCAACCTTATGTCCATTGCTGGTTTCAGTAACAAGCTCCACATCCTGAAGGACTTCCGCTTTCTGGACAGCAAGGTCGAACTGTACGGCAATGTGCAGGGAGAGGATGACAAGGGGAGGACGAGGATGAGGAACTGATTGATGAGTCTATGATAGGTGAAGCATCCTGAAGGTTGAATAAATCTCCAATTTGATACAGTTATTATTTTTAATTCACAATTGTTTTTCTTCTTCACGGAAACTGGTCATACTCCTCGTTATTACAGCCATTTCTTGTTATCCTTAATACCTGAAATTTTTCACTTTTAACATTGTTATGAAAGTGGCAATCGCCGAACATCATTTCTTTCTCATCGCTGAGGGCGAAATTCTCCAACATCTTTATGAAATTTTCGGCAATCATTTCTTCATCTGGGCGTAAAGCTGACCTCGGGCGACCGTGTTCAAAGATAAGACAAAAGTCGTCCGCATGGACAGTTCCTTGAATACAGCAAAAATAATTAGCTGGTACAAATAAATAAAGGGAGTGGCAGACATACCAAAATACACATCCGAGCGCTTGGACAGAACCTGACCGACTCCAGACTCCGGCGGATTGTCGTAGACATAGGAGTACAGCGGGCTTCTTCCATATCTACGATGAAGATCCAATGATTCCGGCACGCTGTTCTTGAAGAGGATATCTGTAAACATCCGCTGCACGTCCCAATAGCTTTCCTCACTAAATCGTCGATCTCCCAGGTAATCTTGTCTCAGTTTCCTTGACATCTCATCCATATCTCTGATATTCTCCTTCGAGTTTCGATAAAAAAGCAAGTCAGGCGCCAAGTCGAACCAACGATCGTTTAGCTTTTCAATCCATGTTTCTCCGGTGGTTAGATTTTGTTCTAACAGCGTAGCGGCATTGTAGCCACCATCCTCGGTGGTGTGGGACACAACCCAGGGCACTTGGGCAAACTTTCCGCTCTTGATTATCTCTCTAGGATGCTGGGTAAGAAATGCTTCGGGATCATCTGCCGGTTCCACGACGGGGCCAAAAGTGGAAAAGGGTACGTTTGAAAACACAAAGAAGTTGCTAACAGCGGATACTATTTCACTGGCTGATTTGGATTTTAGACAAATCTTCAACTCGGCGGTGTTCTCAGTTAGTCCACAGCCCACTATGCGACCAAGTTCAAAGGCTCGTCGTCGACCACCTTCCTGGAGAACCCAAGGATCGAGGGCATTTCCACTCACCGATACGGCCGCCCGGGCTAAACCACTGAAATCCTCATGAAGGAGTTGCAAATGGGCAGATGCTCCGCCCGCAGAATGGCCAATGACCACGATATTCTCCGGCCGGCCCCCGAAACTAGCTATGTTATGTCTGATCCATTGCAGAGCTAATCGTTGGTCCTTCAGTCCGTTGTTGCCGGGCAACTCTCGATCTCCGGTGGTGACAAAGCCCAATGGTCCAAGACGATAGTTTACTTTTACCAATATCGAGTTGCCTGCTCCCATAAAGTATTCGTGTCCGTTGGCTGCCGCTACTCCGAACATAAAGGCACCACCATGCAGGAGGACAACGACTGGAAAGCTGTTGCGACTGCTGCTCTTCGGCTTATAGATGCTAACAGTCAGGCAATCTTCCTGTCCCACTAACTTAGCTCTGAACTGGTTGTATTGCAAGCATGGCACAGGTGGCTGCGAGGCCTCAAAAGTCTCCGTCCACTGGCCACTGAACGCACGTGGAGCTTCAAATCGAAGTTCGCCGATCGGAGGTTCAGCGTAGGGCACCGATTCGTAGCTGTAGTAGGTGCCATTATCCCTTCCACGAAGTTTTCCATTCGGGATTTCAACAATCAACGGATCTGATGTGAGGGAGGAAGTGATTTCTGGTGAGTTAATCCATACCAAACACATGCAACACAATAATCTCAACAAAAACATGTTTTTAACCCGACTAGTGTCTAATGTCGACTGAAAAAAAAGATAAGAGGGCTCTTGACTTTATAGTAGCGTTGTCCAATTCTCAATTTGCTTTATACATTTAGAACAAAAGACCGAAACAAACACGTTTTGTGAGCTTTTTGGGGGTCAAGATAGGAATTGTAAAATCAACATTAAATTAAAAATAACACTGTGACAATTTGTTAATTTCGCGTCTTCTTAATATAGAGAAATTACGTTAAAAGGCGAAGACTGCCAGCTATCCAAAAGAGCTCTATATAATATTCATATTTACAAATATTTATTAAAAACCTCAACTGCTGGATCTTACAACCATCGCTAATTATAGATAGCAAATTAAATAAGTATTACAATCTGTGCAGTATTCGAGTTTTAAGGGAACTGATAGTATTCCTCGTTTGTGCAACCATTTCTTGTTATTCTCAACACCTGAAATTTCTCATTATTAACATTATTCTTAAAATGGCAATTGCCAAAAATCAACTCTCCATTATCGCTAAATGCAAAAACCTCCAGCATCTTCATGAAGTTTTCTGAAATAATCTCTTCATCCGGTCGAATGACTGTTCGTATCGAAGCTTTGAAAATTAAGAAAAAGTCGTCGCCGTGTACAGAACCTTGAAATAAGGACATAGGATTGATTCTAAGACAGTTTAGAAGATTAATTGAAAATTTAACATACCGAAATACACATCCGTGCGATTTGATAGCCACTGTCCGACTGCAGACACTGCCGGATTGTCGTAGACAAAGGAGTACAGCGGACTTTTTCCATGTCGGCGATGCAGATCTAAGGTTTCCGGCACGCTGTTCTTGAAGAGGATATCTGTAAACATCCGCTGCACGTCCCAATAGCTTTCCTCACTAAATCGTCGATCTCCCAGATAATCCTGTCTCAGTTTTCTTGACAACTCATCCATATCCCTGATGCTCTTCTGCGAATCTCGATAAAAGAGCAAGTAAGGTGCCCAGTCCTGCCAGCGATCGTTTAGTTTATCAATCCATATCTCTCCAGTGGTACGATTTTGTTCCAATAGAAGGGCTGCATTGTATCCACCATCTTCGGTGGTGTATGTCACAGCCCAGGGCACTTGGGCAAACTTTCCGCTCTTGATTATCTCTCTAGGGTGCTGGGTAAGAAACGCTTCGGGAGAATCTGCCGGTTCCACGACAGGGCCAAAAGTGGAAAAGGGTACGTATGAAAACACCAGGAAGCTGCTAACAGCGGACACTATTTCACTGGCAGGCTTGGACTTAAGACATCTCTTAAGTATGGCGGATTCCTTAGCCAGCCCACAGCCGACAATGCGACCAAGTTCAAAGGCTCGTCCTCGACCACCTTCCTGGACAACCCAAGGATCTAGGGCATTTCCACTCACCGATATGGCCGCCCGGGCCAATCCACTGAAATCTTCATGGAGGAGTTGCATGTGTGCTGATGCTCCGCCTGCAGAATGACCAATGACCACGATATTCTCTGGAAGACCCCCGAAGTTTGCTATGTTGCGCTTGATCCATTGGAGAGCTAATCGTTGATCCTTAAGTCCGTTGTTGCCCGGCAACTCCCGATCTCCGGTGCTCACAAAGCCCAAAGGACCAAGGCGGTAGCTGATTTTCACCAGCATTAAATTTCCTGCGCGCATGATGTAATCGTGTCCATTAGATGAAGCACCACCGAACATGAAGCAACCACCGTGGAGTAGGACGACCACAGGAAACCTCTTCCGACTGCTGCTCTTCGGTTTGTAAATACTAACTGTCAGGCAATCCTCCTGACCCACTAGCTTATTGCTTTCACTGATAAATTGATTCCATTGCATGCAGGGCACAGGTGGCTTGGTGGCATCAAAAGTGTCCACTATATGGACGACTATATGGACGTGGAGGTTCGAATCGAAGTTCGCCGATCGGAGGCTCTGCGTAAGGCACCGACTCAAAGCTGTAGTAGGGGCCATTATCCTTTCCACGTAGTTTTCCATTTGGGATTTCAACAATCAACGGATCCGGCGCGTGAAATGAAGCAATACCTGGCGACTGAATCCACACCAGAAGCAGGCAAGTCAACCAACCCAATAAGTGCATGTTCACAACTCGACGGTCTTTTAACGCGACTGACAACAAACAGAGTCTGGCTTATTGCTTTATAGCCCCAACAACGAGCCTTGTGAAAAGTACAAAAAAGTGAATCAAACGCGTTTTGAGAGAGTTTCGGGGGTAAACGATGATGACAAACGGTCAGTGGGTAATTAGCAAATTATCATTCAAATAAAATTACACAGAGAAAATAAGATACTTCTAAATTCTATATACTCTCACTCTTATATAAGTCGGCACGGGACAGATCGGACGACTTTATCATATAACTGCCATAGAAACGATCGATTTTTACAACAAATATTATAACTTTTACCTAATTATCTAATGTTTTATCTAAATTGTTTCAAAGCTATCATTTATTATTATAAAATTTCGTTTTTAGTTTTATTAAAATCAGAATACTATATAATATAACTTCCAGAGAAACGGAAGTTTCTATGATCAGTAAGTATCTATGTTCATTAATTACCTATAGGCAGTAAGTAATTATGAGCAATAAGTCGGTAAGTATCTATAATCAGTAAGTACGTATGATCAGTTACCAACTTTGAACACTAATAAACAATGACTTGCAACTTTTGTAACAACACATTTCTGATACATAGCAGGCAGCAGTCGCTTCATTCTGGGGATGTTAAAACAAGTTGGGAATCATATGTTCATGTGCGAGATTTGTTTTGCACCAAATTTAAGAGCAAGCTATTTGGATAAAACTATGAAGTTCTTCTGTATAATTTTACTAGTATATAAGTCGGAGCACGACGAATCGGTGGACTATATATAAACATATATTTAGGTGACATAGGAATAATCGGACAATTTATAGAGCTATGATCAGCAATAAACAATGATCAGTAATTAATTCTGAGCAGTAAGTAACTCTGAACAGCGAGTACATATGACCTGTAAGTATATATGACCAGTATCTATGACCAGTAAGTAATTATGATCAGTAAGCATCTATGACCAGTAAGTATGTATGAACATTAAGTAAGTATGATCAGTAAGTATCTATAACCAGTAAGTATGTATCACCAGTTACTAACTTTGAAACTAATAAACAATGACTTGCAACTTTTGTAACACAACACATTTCTGATCTATGGCGGGCAGCAGTCGCTTCATTCCGGGGATGTGAGAACAAGTTGGGAATTATATGCACAGATGTGCGAGATTTGTTTTGGCAAAAATTTAAGAGCAAGCTATTTGGATGAAACTATGGAGTTATTCTTATTTATAACTTTACGAGTATATATGTAGATCGGAGCATGACGAATCGGTGGACTATATATATACATTTATATAGCTGACATAGGAGCAATCGGACGATTAAGAACCATGATCAGTAATTAATAATGAGCAGTAAGTAACTCTGAACAGTGATTATCTATGACCAGTACGTAACTCTCAACAGATTATCTATACCCAGTAAGTAGCTATGATGGGTAAGTATCAATGACCAGTAAGTATGTATAATCAGTTACTTACTTTGAACACTAATAAGCAATGACTTGCAACTTTTGAAACAACACATTTCTGATACATGGCCGGCAGCAGTAGCTTCATTCCGGGGATGTTAGAACGAGTTGGGAATCATATGTTCATATGCAAAGTTTGTTTTGGAACAAATTTAAGAGCTAGCTATTTGAATGAAACTTAGGAGTTATTCTTCTATATAATTTTTAAAGCAGATAAGTCGGAACATGACAAATCGGTGGACTATATATATATATGAATATATACATATAAAGCTGTTATAGGAACAATCGGACGATATATAGAACTATGATCAGTAATTAACTATGAGCAGTAAGTAACTCTGAACAGTGAGTATCTATGACCAGTAATTAACAATGAGCAGTAAGTAATAATCAGCAGTAAGTAACTATAAGTAAGTATCTATCACCAGTACCAACTTTGAACACCAATGAACAATGACTTGCAACTTTTGTAACACAACACATTTCTGAGACTTGGCCGGCAGCAGTGGCTTCATTCCGGGGATGTTAGAACCAGTTGAGAATCATATGCACAGATGTGCGAGATTTTTGGAACAAATTTAAGAGCAATCTATTTGGATGAAACTATGGAGTAATTCGTCTATATAATTTTGCTCGTATATAATATATATGCATACATATATATATAGCTGCCATAGGAACGTTCGGAAAATTTTAAGAAAAAAAAACTTATAACTTTTCCAGGTTTCAACTGATTTTCATCAGACTTGATATACAGCCATTATATATTATTTTAACATAAAATAAAAGCAGGATTTATTTTTATTGTTTTTTTAAATAAATATATATAATTTATACATATTGTATTAATACCTTGTGATCGAGTTTACAAACTTTCGATCCGAAGTTAGCTTCTCTTGTTAAATTTTTCATTTTCGAACCGATCTTATAATTTAATTGCTAAACTTGCTTTGTAACTGGAACTACTTATCTTTTTAAACTTTGAAACTATTCTCCCTTAAGACCCACATGGCGTATACTTAATTTCAGGGTATTCACGTCAAGTATACGCCACGTATGCTCGACTTCTCTTTAATCGAAGGCTATTTTTAAACTCTTGCTGGGTATTATATTTTAGTCTAAAGATTACATTGTATTGCAGTGAAGGAGTCACTTCCGACGATCATATATATTCTTGATCAGCATCAACAGCCAAGTCGATATATCCAAGTCCGGGAGAAAAATATTTTTTTTGTAATAATATAGACTATTTTTAAATGTTTTTTTTTATTTTAAACGGAACCCTTTGATATTTTTAATATATTTAACATAATTGAAATAATAATTAATAATTAATATTGTAATATTTAATTATTAAAAGTTATATTCAAACATTATTTATATTTCTTTTTATCCTTTAGGGAAACTGATAATATTCGTCGCTTATACAAACATGTTTTATTATTCTGAGGACGTGAAAATGTTCATTATTGACATTATTCTGAAATTGGCAATTGCCGAATATTAATTCTCCATCATCGGCGAGAGAAATATCCTCCAGCATCTTTATAAACTGTCCTGAAATAACTTCCTCATCAGGACGAATCGAAGTTCGCAGTGCACCCAAGTCGAATATAAGGACGAAGTCGTCGCCATGGACAGTACCTTGAATAAGAGACACATAAGGTGGTGGGAAAAATTAAGGGAAATGCTATCCCTACCAAAATATACATCCGTGCGATTCGACAGCACCTGTCCAACTCCAGAGTCCGCCGGATTGTCGTAGACAAAGGAGTACAGCGGGCTTTTTCCATATCTGCGATGAAGATCCAATGATTCCCACACACTGTTCTTGAAGAGGATATCTGTAAACATCCGCTGCACGTCCCAATAACTTTCCAGACTGAACCGTCGATCTCCAAGGTAATGCTTTTGTAGATTCAAGGAGTATTCATTTATGTCCGCAATGGTCTCCATCGAGTCTCGATAGAAAAGAAAGTATGGGGCCAAATCTAACCAACATTCATTTAGTTTGTCTATCCACATCTCTCCAGTGGTTTTGTTTTGTCCCAACAGCATAGCTGCATTGTAGCCACCATCCTCGGTGGTGTGGGACACAACCCAGGGCACTTGGGCGAATTTGCCGCTCTTGATTATCTCTCTAGGATGCTGGGTAAGAAACGCTTCAGGAGCATCTGCCGGTTCCACGACGGGGCCAAAAGTGGAAAAGGGTACGTATGAAAACACAAAGAAGTTGCTAACAGCGGATACTATTTCATTGGCAGACTTTGATTTCAGGCAAATCTTCAGGGCTGCGGAGTCCCGAGTATGTCCACAGTCCACTATGCGACCAAGTTCAAAGGCTCGTCCTCGAGCCCCTTCTTGGACAACCCAAGGATCATTTTCGGTTTATAGATGCTGTGCAGTGAGGCAATCCTCCTGACCCACTAACTTATTGGTTCCATCTATAAACTCATTCCACTGCATGCAAGGCACAGGTGGCTGGGAGGCATCAAAAGTCTCCGTCCAGTGGAGTCTAGATGGACGTGGTGGCTCGAATCGAAGATCGTTGATCGGAGGTTCAGCGTAGGGCACCGATTCGAAGCTGTAGTATGTGCCATTATCCCTTCCACGTAGTCTTCCATTCGGAATCTCAACAATCAACGGATCTGATGCGAGGACTGGAGTAATCCCTGGTGAGTTCATCCACACAAGAAATAAGCTACTTAACAATCTTAATAAACACATGTTCGGAAATGCGACGAGCCTGTAATGCGACTGGCGACAAACAAGGTTGGCACATTGCTTTATAGCCCAAAAAATTCTTCAACTGAAAATAAAGTAAAACAAATTAAATCAAACGCGTTTTGAGAAGATGAACGATGATGTCGAACGGTCATTTTGTTTATAAGCAAATTAGCATTGAAATAAAAAATACACAGAGAATATCTTCAGAAAATAAAAATACGAATTTTTGATTCAAAGAAATTTGTTCAAAACTAATAGAGGAATGATACAATAGCATTTCCAAAGATTGTGCTGCTTTATTTAAATTAATAACCTTAGGGAAACTCAACAAATTGTCTATTCTCACAACCGTCGCGAGTTATTGAAAGCAAATTAAAGGTCTCGCTATCGACATTATCCTGGAAAGTGCATTCCCCATATGTAAGGGTACCCTCTTCGCTTACAGCAAAGTCCGCCAGCATCTTTATGAAGTTTTTAGAAATAATTTCCTCATCTGGACGTAGCTGAGGATTGCGTACCATATTTTCGAATATCAAAAAGTAGTCGTCTCCGTGGACAGTTCCTATAAAAAGCACGATATTAATTTAAGAAGTTAAAAGACATGAAAAAAACTCACCTAACTTGACATCCCTCCTTTTGGATAGCGCCTCTCCGATCCCTTTGTCCGCCGGATTGTCATAGACAAAAGAGTAGACAGGACTTTTACCGTACTTCCGGTGGAGCTGCAATGAGTCCTGTGTGCTGTTCTTGAAAAGGATGTCTGTAAACAACTGCTGCAGGTCCAAATAGCTATCCACGTTGAACCGTCGGTTCCCAAGATATTCCTGCCTTAGTTTCCGAGAGTAATCGTCCATTTCATTAATGGTGTTCTTAGAGTCCCGATAGAAGAGCAGATATGGCGCCCAGTCAAACCAGCGATCATTTAGTTCCTCGAGCAATGTCTGTCCGGGCTTCTTACCTTCCCTTAGAAGTAAAGCGGCATTGTAGCCACCATCCTCCGTAACGTAGGTCACCGCCCATGGCACTTGCCCAAACTTTTCGCTCTTGATCACATCCACCGGGTCTTGGGGAGGAATGCTTCAGGTGCATCGGAAGGTTCCACCACTGGACCGAAGGGTGCAAAGGGCACATACGAGAATATAAGGAAGTTTCGAACAGCAGTCACTATATCGCCGGCTGGCTTGGACTTCAGGCAACTCTTGAGGGTGGCAGAGTCCTTCGCCAATCCGCAGCCAACTATGCGACCCAGTTCGAAGGCTCGTCCGCGGGCACCTTTTTGGACAACCCAGGGATCAAGAGCGTTGCCGCTGAAGGATATCGCAGCCTTGGCCATCTTGCTGAAATCCTCACGCAGCAATTGCAGATGGACAGAGGCTCCTCCAGCTGAGTGTCCTATCAGCAATATATTCTCCGTTTCTCCTCCAAAACATGCTATGTTTTGTCGGATCCATTGCAGGGCCAGCCGCTGATCTTTCAGGCCATAGTTTCCGGGTAAATCCGTATCACCAGAGCTCGCAAAGCCAAGTGGCCCCAGACGATAGCTTATCTTCACCAATATAAATTGGCCCTCCCGCATCACAGTCTCATGGTTATTCTGAGCAGCTGCACCGAACATGAAGGCGCCGCCATGAATGTGTGCCACCACGGGGAAGCTATTCCTGCTGCTGTTCTTTGGCTTATAGATGCTAACGGTCAGGCAGTCCTCAGTTCCGGCCAGCTTGTTGTCACCCGGGATGAACTGATCCCACTGCAGACACACCACTGGCGGTTGAGTGGCATCGAAGATCTCCGTCCACTTTTGTTTGTACGGTTCCGGGGCCTCAAACCGAAGATGTCCCAGCGGAGGCTCAGCATAGGGTATCCCCTCGTAGCTGTAGTAGTTTCCATTATCGCGTCCCCGGAGCTGGCCATGCTGGAGCTCGATCAGCAGCGGATCGTTCGCATCTCCAGAGGCAGAGGAACCGGTCCACAGGCAGCTCAGAGCAAAGCAAAGCAATATCACGGCGTTCATAGTGCTCACTCCGTGAAATTCAGAGCACAACTATCTGGAGCAGTGGCGATAGTGGTGCTTATATTCAAGCCGTCGGCTTATCGTCATCTGGCGGCCACCTGTCCAACCAGTTGCAATTGATCTAGACACGCCATTAGATTAGGAGATTTGGGTACTGGACATCCGAATAAGCGAATGCAAATTAAGACAGCCTATTGCATCAATATAGACTGTTTATTTATATTTTTAAGTTCATTCAACAACCAGACACGTATCCCAAATGCAACTGCCAATCCCACTTGATCTCAGATCTGTTATTATACAATTCCCCTCAAGTCAACTTGATTAATTACTTTCTATGCATGCTTTTGCACTTGTTAATTTACACAGATGTTCAGGGAATATAATTTTAATATCTCAAAATTAAGTAATCTATTGCATGACAGATATTCACATTTCTAGAAGTTCTACTAAACGTTTTTGTTTGTTGTTAAGGATAATTATATTTATAAATATTTTTACTCAAAGTATCGTAAACTAGTGTCATTATTGATAAGACGACTATAAACAATCAGAGAGATTACAGGCACCACTCAGGAACATTTATTTCGAATATAGAACATTTTATTAAAATGTTTCTGTAAATCAAAGGCCGTTCAGACCAGCTAGACTCTTATCTCTTCTATGGCAAGTCAGATTTAAATAATATTCTGGAGTGAAAGCTCAGCTAACGCCTTTAAAGCTTTGGGAGTCTAGTTTTAAAAATTCACAGCTCCCTACGGGAGTTTCATACGCTTCTCTTGACTGTCAAAATAAATATGACATATATTTAGGCGTTTCTTGGATTAGAGAGCATTCTAAAACTTTAATTGTAAAATTAACTTTACACCCAACTAAACCTGAAACAATGGGATTAGTTGTAAGCAAAATGATGTCATATATGTTTCTCGTTAGACCCCCTTTTTCTTTTTAAATTAACAAATCACACTCTTTAGGTTCAGTATTTGTAAATTATTTGTATATAGTTTATATAAGAGACATACATTTTTAGTAAATTACGTTATAAGTATATATATGGCATAAGGTAAAGGAACTTCGGTCAGTCCCTTTGAGTAAATCAATGATAATGACAAGGGGTTAGTTTATTTACTTAGAATTCAATTACTCCTGGAAGATATTTGTCAATCAAGGTTTGATAATAAGGCCACAAAGCATCAATATCTGGAACCACCTCACTCTTAGTGTACAAATCGTAGCGACTGAAAGGAAGGATGATTAGTATATAGGAAATATATAGTAAAAAATAAATACTCACTTGAAAATCAGGACCCACTTCTTGGTGTCCGCATCCTTAGGAGCCTCCAGGTGCTTATAGTCACCGCCGTTGTGCCACGGATAGAAGGAGTGAAAGCGAATGATGTTGCAGGCCACATGAGGCAGCTTGGTCTTGTTGTGCTTGAGGACGTTGTACATGTACTCATCGTGACCCCAGGACATTAGCAAATTGTCCACACCACAGTTGGGTTCATAAATGCCATATTTCGTGTTGTAGGCGGGATTATTCCCATCGGGATTACCCTCGAAGCTCTCATTCCGATAGACGATACTGTCGCCCCAACGGCAACCCACGGCGAAGGTGTCCCCCACCACAGCCCACTGGGGTTCATCGTAGAAGGCCATGATCTTGCCCAGATCGTGAATGAGGGCCGTCAGATGGAGCCAATCGTGCTCCGGGAACTCGGCTCGTGCTCGCTCTGCCGCCTGGAAGGCGTGAATAATGTTTGGCAAATCCAAATCGGGATCGGACTCATCCACTAGGTCGTTCAGCTTCTCCAGGGCCTCGCGCACTGTCATCTTAATCGTGTTGAACTTTAGCCAGCGATCACGGCGTCCTGAAAAATGCAAAGCATAATTATATATTAGTAACCTTTACTATTTCATGGATTTATATTCCATTCTCCGATATAATTCCTTACCCTTGACGAAGTCCACGGTCTGGTTCAGGTGCATCTGACGATAGGTCTGTCGGACACGCTCCTTCAAAGGATCGGTGGTGTCCACACTGTAGTCCCGGAATTTGGACGGATTCTTGTCAGCGAATGAGGGCTCTGGCCGCATTAGCTCGGAGGGATCCAAAAGGTGGACATGGTTCTAACAATTACACACCAAAATATAATAATGGGAAACACTTTAGACACAAAGAATTTATTACCTCCGCTAGGATTCTCATATTTAAAATTAAGAACTATTGGAAATATTTCAAGAAATTGAATCTAATTTTGGGTAGCACCGCGCAGTTGAGTGAGCAAAACACTTTTGAATCGCTGGTCGCATAGACCCCACACTTTTATAGCCTGCCGTCCATTGGAAATTTAACGGAATTCACAATCACAATTTCATTCCATATAGTACACACTCTCTTCTCTCCTGAGTGTACTCGAAAATGATTTATAGTATTTTTGTTATTTTTCAAAACACGAGAGTCGCCTGCATCGCTTCCCGTGCTGCCTCTTCTAATTTATTATCACAGTTATGGCTAAGGCCCGGCTCAAAGTTATTTACTATCTTGTAGGAGGGGAAAAACGTTGGACCCTTTCCTTGCATTCGGTTCTTTAATAATTCCTTATCAGGACTCAGGGACGCCTACACAACGCCGTTTCTACTTATCTTAAGCTGTGTTTTATATTTGCTTTACAGCGTCTTAAAACTGGTAGCTGCACTTGACTGATAACGCCATGTCGCATACATAATACTCGTGAGAGCAAATACATATCTGGATCAAGTGCAAGGCCACCGGTTTGGATTACGAGACTGGGCCTGAGCGATTGTTAAGGTCGTTGAGAGAGGATTCAACAATTCCTCAATCCCCTGATAAGGGTAAAATTCATAAATGGGTTCTATGTTTTCCAAGGGTTCTAAGACTTATGGGAAAAATTATTGTCAAGAACTGGCTTGACTTAAGATATTCTCCTCTTCTCTAAGTTATGCATTAAAAAGTAATCAATTAATACAAGTTCAATATATAAAACCTCCAATATTTCCATTAAAGAAGTAATCCATTTAATGAAAATCTAATTCTCATAGGATTAATTATTATCGATTTTATAGAAAAAACATATAGATAATCGTACTGCGTTTTCCATTTCAATTTTTATTCCCTTGCAGGGTAGTCAGCCTAAAACGCATCGAAAGAGTCATTTCCGACCCCATTAGTCATAAATATGAGCAGTAATTAACTCTGAATAGAGAGTATCTATGACCAGTAAATAAGTATGATCAGTAAGTATCTATGACCAGTAAGTAACTATGATCAGTAAGTATCTATAAACAGTAAGCATGTATGATCAGTTACTAACTTTGAACACTAATAAACAATGACTTGCAACTTTTGTAACACAACACATTTCTGATCCATGGCCGGCAGCAGTCGCTTCATTCCGGGGATGTTAGAACCAGTTAGGAATCATATGTACAGATGTGCGAGATTTGTTTTAGACCAAATTTAAAAGCAAGCTATTTGGGTGAAACTATGGAGTTATTCTTCTATTTAATTTTATAAGTATATAAATCGCAGCATGACGAATCGGTGGACTATATATAAGCATATATATAGCTAACATAGGAACAATCGGACGATTTATAGAACTATGATCAGTAATTAACTATGAGCATGAAGTAACTCTGAACAGTGAGTATCTATAACCAGTAATTAACTTTGATCAGTAATTAACTATGAGCAGTAAGTAACTCCGAACAGTGAGTATCTATGACCAGTAAGTAACTATGATTAGTAAGTATCTATGACCAGTAAGTATGTGTGATCAGTTACTAACTTTGAACACTAATAAACAATGACTTGCAATTTTTGTAACACAACACATTTCTGATCCATGGTCGGCAGCAGTCGCTTCATTCCGGGGATGTTAGAACCAGTTGGGAATCATATGCTCGGATGTGCGAGATTTGTTTTGGAACAAATTTAAGCTATTTGAATGAAACTATGGAGTTATTCTTCGATATAATTTTACTAGTATATAAGTCGGAGCATGACGAATCGGTGAACTATATATATACAGATATATAGCTTCCATAGGAACGATTATAAAATTGTAAGGAAAGGAATTATAACTTTTTCAGGTTTTCAAGAACAAATTTGATATAAAGCCAAGAATTTTGTGTAAAATTTCGTGCAAGTCGGACTTATATTAAATATCATATAGCTTCAACTTTCTTAGATGAAAATATAAAATCACCTTCAAATATGTTTAGCATGTCTTTAGAGAATGTCCAGCCTTGGGTGGGTTGTTTTCCCTTCGGCTCGAATGTCACGAAATTTAGCTCCCCAAAACACCTCCGATAGCTCTCGGGGCTCGGGGCTAACCTTGAACAACCGCCAGGAAGGCGAAGCCCCAGATCCGTAGCCAGAAGCCATCGCTCCAGATCCAGCGCTCATTTCGGACGTCTAAAAGTAGCAACAAAGCCTCGCAATCTGGGTACACAGTCATCAAGCTAAAGCTTAATGTGCCATCAAGGGGGGGATTGCCTAAAGAAAAGTTATCAGTCTACATGACGTCGATCCCCGCCGATTCGATCCGGACTCACACACGCCGCAAGTGCGAACTATGTACAATATTTTCGATTTCACACTGCCCACGAAGGGGCGGACTGATCACGGCCAGGCTATATATGAGGCGTGGATTTTGGGCTGGAGGGGCTTGTTCCATGTTTCCCGAGGCGCAGTATCGCGCCGTTCGTCACCAGAGAGGTCAGTTTGTAACGATCGCTGTCAATAAATCTTATCACCTAACGTATTAGGGGAGCAATTCGCACGGAGCTCGAGGGTGGGCAATGGAAAAGTTTCATAATATTTCAATTGAATCTGGATGCTGTTGATGTCATCAATTAAGTCAGAACGTTGCAGGGATTGCATTCACAGAAGACGGAAAAGCGGACTTCACTGTCAAGTCAATATAGAAACAAACGGAAGTTGTCCGCGCTTTGCAGTTTATTTATAGTATCCGGTATTTTCAATTTAGATATTAGTTGTATTTCCCCTCTTGATGGCATTGACCCCAAGTTCTAGGCCAAATGTCCATAGTATCAGGCAGATCGATCGCATTAATAAACAACATTGATAAGCCAATTAAAAAATCACAAATTATGCTATAATTAGCAGGGGATCATACGTAAAGTTCGAGGAGTCACAAGGACAAGTCGTCCAGACGCAGAATGGAGCAAAATGACAAACAACGATGATCAATCCGTTTTGCAAATACAGTGAGCTTTATATAGCGTTGTCTTGGAGGATTTACCTACTTCATCAGAATCTTATGACAATTTTTATAAAAGTCAAATAATATAGAAGCTCTATTATATAGGCGGTAAATCAATTAATATTGATTATTATAAAATATTATAATAAGGTTCAAGGGTTTACAAAATACGAATATATTAATTTTCTCATCGACATTTTTGCTTCCGGTGTGTGTCTCATAGCAAGTCCCCACTGTTCTTACTACAAGCCATAAATAATTTCTAATAAATCATATTCGCAAGCTCGACTTTCGCCAGACGAACTCTTCGACTTGTATTCAAAAGTTGATATTTCGCTGATAGATTTGTGCACATGTTTGCAATAATTCATTAAGCTCGGGACAGTTGGGATCAGAGGGTCATCAATAGTACACTCATCTGCTAGCTTAAGACTATTTTTGTGCTGATTCGTTGATATACAACATATATAGGGGTAATTTTAATAAATTTAGATCCTTAAGTTAAAATAAACCAAGGCAATAAAGAGGTCCCCATCTAACTAAACAAATTAAAATAAATAAATAGTGTTGAAGGGCCGAAATTAATATGTGCACCAAAAAGTAGGCAATATATTTATGAAAATTCAGAGGGTATTTTACAATATACAAAAATGCAAACAAAAACGAGTCTAACTAATAAAACGTTAACATATCATTTACCACACGAAATAAAAAATAATTCCCTTGATTTACTCAATAGCTTTCAGGCATATTTATTTTTAAGGCCTCTACGGAAGCTTTTGAATTTAATTAATTACAAAGCCATGAAAAAGTTAAGTAGCTATTAATTGTTAAAAAACTTTTATTTAATATGAACACATACAATAAGTTTTATTGCGAAAAAAGGACTTTTAGTAATTTACTTAACGTAGAAAATTTGTTTATATAAAATAAATAATTTTTTCCGATTTAAGCCATCGCTTTTTAAACAAGTGAGTACACTTAGAGCCGTCTCACACTACGGCAACTCACGCAAATATAATTAAATAAAAACGAATACATTTTATTACAGCTTAATGTTTGCCAAAGCCTAAAGCTAGAATACACGATTTAAAAATCACAATGTGCAATACCAGGTGAACGACTCCATTGAGGAGACGGATATGAAACGTCCTTTTGGACGGATGAGGGGTACAAAAACAGACACGGACATGAATACAATGCGGTTGACAGTTCCGGCGACAGGTGCTACATAATTGATGAGTAAGGGTATCGTGCTAGCAACTGAGGCTTCGTTTTAATAATTACTCGGCCCCGGTAGTTTGTTTGTCTCCGTATATGGGTGTCCTGCCGGCAGGACCCCCGCGTGCCGAGGAAATTACGAGACGGGACTCGTGCTTGGTACAACAACGTCGACGAGGAACAGGAGTAGAACATGTAAATTGCAGCGCCTAATTGGACGCCTAAGTGCGCGTCCTTCGATTCCCCGTCGCAGAGTTCTAATTAAAAACCCCTGAAAACGGTGGCTCTTATCAAGGTCAAGAGGCCAAAACAGGGGAGCAGGGCGGACACGAAGTGGGGTTCCCATCTGTCAGCCGCGTTGGCCGCATTGACGAACGGTATGGAGCCCATGTTGTAAATCGGTGTCTCCACAAGGTTTTTATACAACGTGCGATCGTTAAGGGGTTGAATGGGTCGGAAATTGTTCTTCAGGTGGTCATCGTTGGCTGTCAGCAGGCGGAAGGCACTCAGCTGGTAAGGGAAAATATTTAAAATTAATATAAATTAACCATTTTATTGATAATTATTAAATCTATACATTTACCTGCTTCTCTGTGATGTCGATGGGTTCTGTAAAATCAATCCAGGTAACCTCCTCACTGCATGGCGGAGTGGTCAGGGAACCGGTGTAGCTATAGTAGCTATCCAATTGTTTGGAAATGAACTCCCCCAGAGCAATGGGATTCGTCATGTTCACTGACTTGCCCTTCCGGTCGATCTCAGGGAGTAACTTTGCAAAGGCCTCGTAGCCTCCAGAGGAATTGTAGTTAATCTGGAAATTTAAAATAAAAAATACAGTCAATAAATAACATTTTATAGCCCCATTTCACAAGTTCAGCGCACCTTAAAGAAGAATGCCATCACGGCAATGCCATGATCCTTATCCAGAGCACTAGCAAAATCAGGATACTCGAGGTTCCTCAAGACCACATGAAGCTCGGCGGGATAGGCACGGTTATCAATCAGATCCTCACTGCCCACCGTATCGTTCTCGCCCCAGTGGAAGTGGAACTGCTCGAACTGGTAACCCAATAGGGTCTTCTCTGACAAAGGACCTCCCCTCACACTCGGCACCTTGTCCTCGTCATAGGTGAGCTTTACCAAGACCGTGTGGCCATTGTTGGTCATCTGGAAATTCCTGGGCTTCACGTGGAAATTCAAGAACTCCAGTTTCTCAAACTTTTTCTCCACAGCATTGACCAGATCGATGTTAATGGGACTCTGGTGCTTGCCACTGCAGCGGGCATAATCCTCGCTCCAGTGCTCGGGTCCATGTCTGCCCTCGTAGCCAAAGTCCTGGGCCAGGACAGCCGAAGCTGGAAAATGCATATATTTATTTATATAGTAATGTTTAGGTTAAAAATATTCAAAATTGAATATGAAATGTGGATCTTTGTGATAAATTGATTTCTATCTCTGAGAAAAGCAAACAGAGACGGTTAATCGAACTCCCCCAGGTGCTAATTATTTGAATGTCTGAGACATTTTGTGACATCAAATGGATTACCAGTTTAACCAAGATATCAACTATTTTCGGATAGCGAAAGCTATAAATAAGACATATGTGTGTTTTATTAATTTTGCAAATTTTATTAATGCGGTGCCGGTGCCTGTCATCACAGCGAGGGATTGAGTTCAAACAAAACTAGATAGCCGTAATTGCTGATTCAATTAGCATCAATCGAGCGACAATTAGCCATGTAAAGTTTATTATAGCTTACCGGGAATACCTTTATTTAATAGTAAACGGGGTGCAGTTGTAATCAAGAGCTGTGTAGTAATACTTTCAATTTCCAAATAAAAAACTAAACATTCTGGCATAAAAAGTGCTAACGAAATTGGCAAAACGCTTCGACCAAATTATTTCCCATTAGCAGCTTCCCTGATTTATAGCGAATTTAGATAAATTATGGACTAATTTATATTAGCGACCTGTTTAGTATATTGTTCCCCAGATTAGCTTACACTGTTATTACTATTAAATCAAATTAAATAGCCTCGGATAATTGAAAATTATTCCCTAAAAAATGAGTCTCTCTTAAATAATGGGGTTTTTTGGCGTCAAAAATCATGCGTTGTGCTAGTGATTATCATAAACAATTGTGAATAACCGGGAAACCAGAAAACTATGACAGTCAGAAGGTTGAAGATCAATCAGGTGACCAGCTCTTAACTGGCCAGAAATAAACAAACATTCGTATCGCAGACATGCTATATTTTATAATTCTGATACGCGTAAGATGTTCATTAAAACCGCACACTGTGATTTTTGTTCTAGTTTCTCGTTGATTTATAACAAAGATAATCGCAAGACTTATGCAATAATAATGATTTATTAAGGGACTTTTTTCTTTAAAGTTTTGCGAAAATGTAACAATCCAGTTAGGGTCGGTGACTACACAGCGAAATAAAACTAAAGAGAGATCTCTAAGCAATATTAATTTGATTTAAGAAATCATATTATTATTATATTTTTGATGAGCTGACTAATTACATTTGCTATATTTGTATTTGCTTATTTTTAGAAAATCAAATCAGACATTTAGGAAGCCCTAAATTAAGAAGGCATTTATATAACTAGAGAAGCTCACACAACTACATTTCTTTCCCATCTCTTTTTTTATAACAATAAAAAATCTTTAATTTCTTTGCCGATTTCTCTCCGTGTTTTAATTGGCTATCACAGTCCTGACAATTGTTTAAATATTTCCTGCACTTAGTTATGAAAACACTCGGCCGCCACAGATGATAGGAATGTATACAAAGCTCGATTGTCAGTCTCGTATCTTGATTAACGCACATTCGGTCAACATTTCTTAACGATCAAATTACACATTTGTTTTTGCCATATAGCTCACCACAAATCAAGATCGTGGCCAGGGGTAAATGGGTGCGACACCTCCTCCACATGGTTGCGCTGCGACTCGGAGTCACTTTCCCGGAACTTCAAATGCCTTATCTGGCTATCGGGGCACTGTCACCGATCGCGGCTAATTTACGAACTGTAACTATTTTAAGGCAGACCACAACAAATCCGACGGCTTTGCGAGGTATTCCCGTTCCACACCTGTCTCTTTTTACCGTGCTCACCCGCCGAACGCGGTCACACAACTGCGGTTAGGGCTTCGTCGACGCCGCAACTTATATCTCCTCGCTGGAGGCTACTACAGTGTTGTTTCGTCGCCAATTGAGTTGGAGCCCAGGGGATGGCACTGCTGCTCCTCCTCCTACTGCTTACCACTCAATTGCCAAAGAAGCGTCCACCAAATGCCAGACATGGGCAATGGAAATATAAAAGGTTAACCATTTCGGTGCCCTAGCCTTGCCATTGAATGGCGGTATATGGAATATTTGGAATTTTCATATTACTCTTGGTACATTTCCACTCAAAAGTTCGAGTCAAGTAAATAGCAGGCAACGGTAGAATTTCTGAGCTTCCTTCATTACACTGTAACTTTGAGAGAATTATATATAGACTTTAAGGTATCTCTTAGTTTAAATTATGATAAAAAAAACTGAGTGTACTTTAATCAAAGTTTTCCTTTTAAGATTTACTTTTAGATAATTAGTTCTTGAGATAAATAACATCTAAATTTTTACAAGACAAATAATATATATATACTATGACCAGTTGATATATCAGAAACGTATAATCCTAATGAATTTTAATATATTTTAAATACACTCTAATACACATAATGATAATCAATATTTCCGTTACTTTTACAAACTTGCTCCTAATGCCATAACCGTGCCTGTTTGTTGACACTATCACCCCAAGCTTTTGAAGTTTTCCGTTAGTTTGGCTCCTTGTTTTGGTCTTATGTCTCTTTAATTGCTTCACTATTACGCCATGTCCGAGGTAGCAGAGGGTATGCCCGATTCGAGGGTCCAAAACAAAAGCTAAGCCTCATGTTTTTGGTGGAATGACTAATGGCGTGCGTGCATGAATCAAAAGTCGATGAGTAACTGCCGGAATTGGATAGCCGCAATGAAGATGGTAATCCAAGTTGGGGAAAGACCTACCCGACGACGCTGGAAAGAAATTACAATTGTTCGAGAGACCCAGCCAAGAGCCCTCGAGAGAGAGTGAGGACTTGAGCCGAGTCGAGTTGAGTTAAGTTCAGTTGAGCTGAGGAGGTTACAAAACCGCAGGCCTTCGATGATCGACAGCGAAAAGCATTGTTCATTTGTGGATTATATGTATATATGGATATATGTATCTATAACCTTTAGCCCTGCGAAAAGCGGGGGATCGAAGGGCTTATCTCCGGTTTGCATTCGTATCGGGGCGATACTTAGTCTGATTGCCCGACTGTTTATCTTGGCATCACATGTCACAGCCGCAAATCGCTGTGCAATGGAAATGTAGTGTGCATACTTAATGGCATTACTATTGCATGCTAATCGCATTGTTGCAGCCCGTGTTTGCCTTGCACTGCGTAACCATTTCCCCTGACATCGACGGCTTTCACTGGCTCCCGAATCCCGATCAATAATACTCATTCTGTTAAAAACTCAACAACAAACAGATTAACGCAACGCCATTAAATTAATTTGTTCTCTGGAAGCTATAAACTTAGACCTTTTTAAGCTCACATAATCCGAATTTTTAAGTATATTCGTAAAAAGGCTATCAAAGGGTTTAATTTATTATATGGATAGGGAAACAGTACAAAATCATTATTAAATATAGTTGTACTATGTATGTCTAATTAAATTAAATTGTAAGCTGAGAAAAAATAACTTAAATAGGTATAAATTACCACTTCCAATATAGAAATAAAATCAATCGATCAAGTTAATTAATTAAACCTGGAAACTAAATCATCACAGGGCTAAAGTATTGTCTCTATAAACGGAGAGCTTTATCTAACTTAGTGAATTTAAGGGCCCACTAAATAATTAAAATCAGTTAATATACAAAATTGAAATCCCCATATATTAAAACAATTTCTATTTAATTTAATTGACATATAAAATTTTAAAAACAAGAAAGGAAGCTTTGGAAAATCGAAAATTTAATACTCTTGCACTTTGGAATTGGGTCATAAAATCGCATTTTAAATTAATCATAACTTCACCAAAAAATCTTTAATTTCAATTCGGAAACCTGTTCCTTGTTGGTTTTTACAAGGTTAACAAAACTGCAACCAAAATTAAACAAAATACAAAATTAAAATTTTTGGCAATTTTTGAAAATTTGAACATTGTAAAATTATGACAAAAAAGAATGGAAAAATTTTACAAATTTTTTTTTCTTCCAAACATGGCTAGATCGACTCGGCTGATCATGCTGATCAAGAATATATATGATTTATAGGGTCGGAAATGACTCTTTCGATGCGTTTTAGGCTACTGACTAAAATTATAATACCCAGCAAGGGTATCAAAATCATTTTCGAGAACCATATGCAATATGTGTTTTAATCCTTTTCAAATCGGTCAAAAGGAAGATTAATAAATATATATTATAAATAACATTGATAAGTACTGGCTAAAGTCTAGAATATTTAATTTTTCATACATATCAGTGCTTTTTTTAACCCAATTCCATCATCTTTTCACCGCGTCACTATAGTCAGTATACTGACTCATCCCGCAAATGTTCGGCGGCTTTGGCAGTGGAAATTTTTGGGCCAAGCTGTTAAGCATTTGCATTGTCGTAGATTTCAGAGATTCGGAGACTTGGGCAACCGGAGCTGAGGCGTGTATTAAAACGACCTCCGAAATGTCTGGTTCCACGAACACAGAGTCTACAATCTGGAAAAGTTTAAGCTGCGCAGAGAACACTTATGCTTATGCCCTGCTTTATAACAGACTCTTTTTGTATTCTTTTTTTTGTACAAGTCACTAATTACTCTGCTCGGGTTTCATTTTTTTAAATTTTTTTTTAGGTTTACGGAACCAGAAGTACACGCCGAGACAGAGACGGAAACAGAGACAGAGAGTGAAAGAGAGAGTAAGTGCTTTTTTCGTGCTTTGACTTACAAACTGAAAACAAAGTATACTACCAACCGGCGGCAAATGCGTAAATGTCGTATAATTTGTGTCCCACAAAGCAAAACTTTTAATATCTAACCCGGGAAGACAACACACGTCGGCTCATTGGTGTGTGTTGTGCACAAGTATACTCTTTTTCAAGTGGATACATTAGATAGATAGATAGATCAACTGATAGATAGATGGATATAGGAAAAAAGGTAGATTGATAGATGTACACATAAGTAGATAGAAAGATAGATGGATATAGGATATAGGATATATAGATAGATAGATAGATAGATAGATAGATAGATATATAGATAGATAGATAGATAGATAGATAGATAGATAGATTGATAGATAGAAAGATAGATAGATAGATTGATAGATAGATAGATAGATAGATAGATAGATAGATAGATAGATAGATAGATAGATAGATAGATAGATAGATAGATAGATAGATAGATAGATAGATAGATAGATAGATAGATAGATAGATAGATAGATAGATAGATAAATAGATAGATAGGTAGATAGATAAATAGATACATAGATACATACATAGATATATGGATATATAGATTGATAGATAGATACATAAAGAGATAGATAGATAGATAAAGAGATTGATAGATAGATGGATAGATAGTTAAATAGATAGATAGATATAGATAATAGTTTAGTATAAATGTTACTTGTAATACTATTATGATTATAATTCCTTATTTAGATTTTTTCTATTTATCTACCATTTAAATTTCATAGATTGTAAGTATATACTTTTTTTCTTAGGCAAAAAATATTGGAAAATATATAAATATAAGTAACAAGTTTAAAGAGTATTTCAATTCCAAATTGTAAAATATGTAAGCATCCATTAGAGCTGAATGTTTTATTATTTTTTCTGATTACAAGCCCTCACTTTTGGCCAAGTTTAACCAGGAGCAGTTGACAACAACCACCACCAAACAAAAAACAAAAAATACATAAAAAATAATAACAAAAAACACGTAAATTACAAAACAAAAAAAAAAGTACAAACAAAAAATCATAAATCGGCACAAATGCAAGAAGATAGTCCAGAGCATTACCCGTAATTGTGGTCCGGTCTGCCGTACGCCAGACTATACGGGAACAGCAATCATTGTTGGACAGGTCAGAGAGCTGCCACTGAATCCAGGAGCTCGACCAGAATCCAAATCCGAATCAGAGGCCAACTGGAAACAGGCATTCCATCAGCAGCCACATCAATAATCATTAGAATTAGACGAGTGGCTGGCATTTTCAACGAGGGGATAAGGGTAAGCGGCCTTTATCCGTATTTATTTTTAATTAAAGTGCAACTGCCGACGAGCTTGCGGCTTTGCTTTGCTCAATTTACGGGCTCTGAAATGGTTCATGATGACGAAGCCGGGCCCGGAAAAATGCTGCCAGTTTGTCATAGCCGCTCGAACTAAACTATTTCGCGCCGCAGTCAACCGCATAAATTCCTCAAACAATCATAAGTCAAGGCGTTTATGCGCTGGCTTAAACAGATTTATTGATCTTAAACTAAAAAAATATTAAGGTCTGATAATTATTTATATCAATTTACTTAAAATACTAACCAGAATATAGATAAATTATTTTGTGGTATTGTACAAAAATACTTAATTTTCTTCAATTTTCTAAACAAATCCAAGGCTCAAATCTATTCTTTCATCATCAGTAGGTATTTTTAAATTACTAAATACAAAATTGATGTGTAAAAAGTTTTTCAAAAGTCCATATTTCATGCTGCTATGCAAACCGGTTACCCATAAACTTCATTGCATTGTTGAGCATATTAAATTAAAAGCTGCTCTGCTGGGTTGCGGCTCTTTAGGCACGCACACCTGCAACCTCAACAGGGTCCTGCCCCCTGGTCTATAACACCTCTTATCAATGAAACCCCCTCAACAGGCGGAAACGAAACCTATCAGAAAACGACCGACTCCAAAAAGCCAATGACTGACCAGGAGCTAGTTGCTCGGATGCAGATACAAAGATACACCCATCGTCGGGCGAGAGTTCAAGAACAACACACAAGTGGCAATAATGAAATCTGAAAAGCCTTGGCAAATATGAGGCATCAGGCCAGGTTAACAGGGATAACCACAGGCTGCATGCCTTAAGAGAGGCCAAGGAACTTTCTCTTTCGCGCCTGCTCGCTTGTCGCATTTCTCTTTGGTGATTTTCCATCCTCCGCTCGGAAA